TCCCAGACATCTTCTAATGCAGAAGGTAAAATAGCAACATCACACTTTGACATTTAAACTACAGTCCAAATTGCTTTCAGTTACCCACAGATTTCAGAGAATGTCATTCTCTGAGCCAATGGTTTACAACAAAAACACAGTTGATGCATTTAAGCTATAATTCTCCTTGTCCATGTGACATTTTCAGAAAAGCCTGGTAGGTATGTCTCTGCAGAGGGCAAATGTCCAAGCACACTGTTGTTATGCTGATTTTGTTTAATGTCTCTGCAATGCCACCCTGGCCATAYGCTAGTTCAGCTGACGGTCAGCACAATACTATGCTTATAAAAGTGAAAWGCAGAGCACTTCCGAAGCGGCCTAATGTCCAGTCCGAGCAGAGCTGAGCACTGCACTTAGTCCTTTGCACTGGYCTCAAATCACCCTAACCTTTTGCAAAGGCAAGTTAGTGCCTTACAACATACATTAAAAAGGAAATATATACACCTTAGAAACCAAAATTAAAATCTCCCTAGAATTAATAAAATTTGGATATCTATTATGTTCAGATGCTTCAGAAACTCCTCAGAGGTGACACTAAGCACAAATATATATATAATATATATATATACATATATAAAATATATCTCATCTTAAGTGATGTTTAGGAATAGCAGGCTATTAAGTTATTTCAAAAGATGGCTCRTTAACTATATAGTTTTGAAAGTAAAAAGTCATCTAACAGTAACTCCCAAGTATAAACATAGATAACATYAATGTCAAGTTATTACACCTACTACTCACCTAAATACTATCCTCCTACCAAAGAGTCCTACTCCGAATTCTACATCAATTTCTCTGTATATTCTCAGATAATTTCTCTAAGCAGTAGACATTAGAATTCCTTCATTTTTACCTGTCCTTTCCCTAATTTCCATATCAACTTGATAAGCTTTTCATAGCAAGGTCTGCCTGCCCATTCACATAGGATGTGAACGTTATGAAATGTTTCTGAGCTTGTTTGAGACTATCCTATTAAAACCAAAAATAACTGACATGATCTTCTTAACAGCAATTGGACAACAGCTGGACTTTATTCACAGCAGTAAAATGCTATATGCCTTCAAAAATAATGGCCTCCTCCTCTCATTTCTCATCATGAGCAATTAGGAACAGTAGAACTCAGTACCTGTACTTACATACAGAACTAAGCACCTACACCCATATACAGACAGCCTAGATTGACAACAGGAACTCAGCCTGTTTCTGGAAGAGACAGCTGAGGATGTCTGAACTCMTATGTGAGGAATTATTATATTGATGTAAATCTCAGGGGCAAATCTCCGTTGAGATGAACCTGGAAATAAATAATGCAATGTATAGCCTTAACTGCATTCTTAGTGTCAGTATTCAGCCAAAAAAGAGAAAATGTAATAAGGGCCATCTTTTCTGCTGAAGCCAGTTGCAGCTGTGTCTCATGTCAAATTTGCCTGTGCTAAGTTAGTACAGGAACCTAATTTTGTGCAGTCAGAACAGAAGAGGTTCAAGTCCAGTATCTAATATTTACCCAAATCTCTGCATGCAGTTTCTTCCCAAATCCTAACTCAGAGCTGTGTGGCACTTTGTCACGTCTATTTTTAATATGTATTTTCCATAATAAGAGAACGAAAATGACCACATTTACACACTACTTTGCTACTTAGGAAGAACACTTCAAACAGGGCTGCAGGTTGCTCTGGGCTGTGCCCAGTTGGGTTCTGAGCATCTTCAAGGACTGGACTCAAACTCTCTGGACAGCCTATGCTGATTCTATCTTTGACTGGACCAACAATCAAAAATGTTTAATTTTTCCAGTGTTCCAGAATTTCCACTATTTCAGTTTACAGTCACTTGCTCTTGTTCTTTCACTGAATACCACCAAGAAAAGTCCATCTTCATCTTCTTCATTCCTCCTCACGAGATCATTCCCTTCCCCACCTTTCTATCTTGCTTTATTGAAGACAAAGAATCCAAAAATTTCACTTAAGAATTCCAACTCTTGATCACATTCAATTATCTAGAGAAATTTGAGCTGAAGAAATTGCTTTAAGAAACAAAGAAAAAGCCTTTACCCTAACCCAAGGCTGAAATTCAAACCTACTCTAGGATACCAGAAAAAAAATCAACTTTGTTCAAGGGACATGATAATTATATTTAATTCATCATAGGTAAAAGTAATTTTGAAGGCAAAAAAAGTGGGAACAAGATTTAAGAGGCACATATGYAAAAAAAGACAGTAAAAAAGGAGAAATAGATTAAGAATGATTGTAGTTACAGGACAATACAGCTGGGCAGAAATTGTAAAGCAGCCTTCCTATCTGGATAAGGAATCTTCTTTCTGACAGCATAAAGCAGATAGCAGTTAGTCCTGCAGAGCCATTAAGTAAACACACCCACACAAKAACACAAGAAATAAAGACAAACAGATGCCAAGTGCTTTTCCCACCTCCTTATATTTTTCATAGTTGTTTAGAAGAGGTTGTAACTATACACCTCAGTAGGAATCTGTTGTTAGCAGTTTAAAGAGATCTATCCACTCATGCACAAGTTTGGAGGTGACGTTCTAAAAACYACACAAACAAACACCTTGATGCCCGGAGGCCTTGATCAAGCTCTCACCTTGATCTTACCCAGCTAACTCAAACTTCCTCATGCCCACAGGAGCTCACCAGCAACYAGTGGCCTCCAAATTTTGTTGCTTAACAAAAGACACTTTTCCCTGACCAAGTAAAACCAAAGCAGGGAACAGATTTGGCTTCAACTGTCAAGGCTTCAATGTGTTCTGGCAAAATCCTGGTTGTTTGAACTGACGGTTGCAGCTGCACGAGGAAGCAGAGATTTGTTCTCAGAGCCGACTGTCACAGTTGCCCCCAGGGCTTTTCTGCATTTCACAGATATCAAATTCATTTGAGAACTTCATTGCCAATATCTCCGAAACTGGGCTCATRATTTACCATTCTGCTGCTTGGCCTCTTCTGCCAAGCTTGTTGCACATGCCCTGCAAATCCCACAGGGGCAAGAACAGATTTCATGAGCTGCCTGGTGTGACCTGCATAGAAGTCACAGAAGCAGCAATGGCCAAGTACAGGTACGTGCTGCACAAAGACCTTGGAAAACACCACCTTTCCTAAAACATTTTCCAATAACGGTGGCATCCAGGGATGTCCCTCCCAAACCCACATAAGACTGGCACAACCAGATCATATTCAGAAGCACTCATTTTCAAACTCCAGCTTCAGGACCAGTGGATTAGGTACCAGGCTGAACAGAAATGCAGCTTTCACATTGCCTTGCTCCTTTCTGCATGTGATACAAGTTGTGCACTCCAATTCTGAAGTGCATCTCCTATAGGGATGTTCATACTTTCATGTATTTACATGTATTTCACMTCATACTTTCCTCCCTTCACATCCATAGCATGCATTAATGAGGTATTAGGGAAATGCTTTAGCAGCACCTATACACTACCCCCTGCTGCTGGTTATTTTTTCTTGGCCTGCTCCTAGGTGTGCAGTGGCTCCATTCATTGCTTCCATCAGATGCACTGCCAGCAGACATGGCACCTGCAGAGCCAGAGGGCTGCTTGTCAACAGGCTCTCCTACTAACAGCGGATTTCAAAACACCCCTGCAGATCTCTGGAGAAAGGAGAGTTTTACCTGCTTCTGGAGGGGGGAGGGAAGGCAGGTTTCTTCTCTAAATACAGAGATGGATYGTATAGAAAAGTTATCAGGAGAGACTTAAGTGACAAAGCAGATTGAGTAGATGCCAAAGCTACTTATCTGCTCTGGAAGGAAATCAAACTTATCTACCCTGTAAGTCTGATATTACATGACCCTATGTGGCAATAAAGTTCATCCTCTCCCTTCTACATTACTTTCCAGAATGGCAGTATCATCAGATCCATTTCCAGTTACCTGCAGTTACCCTGCAGTCTCGGAATCTAGCACTAATGCAGATATTTCCCAAGACAGGCGTTCAACAGCGCTAAGTTTAAGTCAAATAGTTCACTAGCAAAAATACTTGCCTTATAATGTAAGGTCAAATCTTACTTTTAAATTCTTCCTTGCACTCCATTATGATCTGCTCCAACAAGCAGGAACTGAAATTAATAAAGGAGTAAAGATCCAAATGTGGCACTTCCATCCTGTCCTTTGAAATGCCTTTTTGTGTTAGACAGCAAACTTCAAGCAGAAGGCAAGAGAACACTATTCCCATGAGACTGAAAGCAGCAGAATCAGTGGAAGTTTCTGCTGAATAAAATTTAACAATAGGCATGTTGCAACTTTAACTTTTAAGCATTTAATAGACTTCAAGAAAAAAATCTTAAAGAGCACACAAATCTTTAAGAAAAATAAATTTATTTTAGCTTTAACATTGTATTGCATCCTTAAACAGTCTCAGATGACTCCAATCGTAGAGTTTGCTGGAAAAAACTGCATGCATTACAATTCATCTCACCTTTGCTAGTCAGTGACAAAGCTAAAGAACAAAATCCACTTTTTWCCCCTCAGCAGAGGTCAAACACTGCCACCCACTGCTTTTTCAAGGTATTCCTCTTTCGAGAGCTCAACTGCAGAAGGCAGAATTGAGCATTTTTCCAATCATGAGATACCCTTCAGCCACCTCACAGAGCCTTTCCCCCCTCACTCCAACACTGAGTTTTGCTAAAAGGTTATGTGTCCAGAGTATTTTCATCATGAATAAAACTACATAAAGGAACAGAATGGAAAATGAAACCTGAGGGCAGACAGGCTGAATCACAGAAAATTTAAGTTTACATGCATACCAGAAGGAACATTTCCATTTCTAAACCGGTATGAACTTTCTGCAGACAAACTGAAGGAATGAATTTGAGTATTACAAATCATTCACTTTTCAGCTAGGTCATTCCCTATAATAAGTGAGCCCACCCAGCAGTTCCTATTCTTCCCTGCTTCAAACACACAAGTGTTTTCAAACCAAAGATCAGCTGTAATCAGAACTATATTCAAGTATAGTAAAGACAACATTCAAGTATTCAGTAAGTAAAGACAGTATTCAAATTCAAGTATTGTAAAGGCAATAAGTGCTTAAAGATTCTTTCCATTCTGTTAAGCGTGTTATAAACTGCCCTCTGCTAGTGGAGATATTGGTAGCTCCTGTTCATTCATTACATCCCAAAGTGCCAATTCAAACAAGTCACCTTAACTGCCTCTTCTTTAAGTAAATAGTTCAGGAATTCTACTTCCTGCTGCAAGCAGGCTTCTAGCTGCTCAGGTTGAAGTATTTACCAGCAACTATTTTAGAAAGAGCCACAGACTCAATTTTATCAAAATAAACTGGACTAAAAGCTTCCCAAAAGGTATGTATGCAGTTTATGGGACTACAAAATACTAGATATGTTTAATTACCTAAAGTTCAAATAACCTTTACTGAAAAGTAACTGTTCCTGAACAATCATTGCACTTCTATCTTATCAATGCATTAGAGATGTCGATCATGGTTGGAGATTTAATTTCTTTACTAAAAATAGCCATAAAATATCCAAATACCAGCAAAGCCAAATATCCCTATGTCTACAGTTTTAAAAAACACATATCAAGGTCAATACATATCTTGTTTTGCCAACATATTACAGCCAACATATTATAGCTGGCTTGTCTCTGCTGGGAGATGGAAAGTTCAAGTCCAACRACTTATAAGAAATAGCACCTACCTTTGTATATAAGCATGTAAAAGTACATCAGCATTCACATACTAGAAGCAGCAAGTTCAAGTCAAATTTCTCAAAAAAAACCCATGCAGCTAAAAACGCTACATAAGTTTCATTCACAGAGACTCCAATTAAATTTGAGGCTGTTCCATGGTTCATGGACACAACAGTACTAAAACTTGTATACAGGCTCATAACAAACTCTAGAAGTGAGGATCACTGTTTCATTCTACTGCTCAATAAAACCATAAATACTTTMTAAACTGCATAATTAAATGCCCAACCATTAATGAGTGAAATTTTTTTTAATTCTCAACTTGCTTTCTTTTCAAAGTTTTTTGACAGCTTACTTCTTTGCAGACAAACYGAAATTGTTCATTTGTCTTGTAAGCCAAGACAGTAGCCCACTAATAAAGTGATCAGATAATCATAAGTTCACATTTTGCTGGAACAGCTCCATAGGCAACTACAGTTCTGCTGAAAGGAGACATTCACAGAAACCTGAGTCTACAGCCCTCAGCATTTTCACACTCTTTTGAAGACTACAAAATTTCAATTAATGCAATACAATTCTAATAACTGCACAGGAGACAGAGGTATTCTAGATATTTATTTTTCGATGTACAATATGATACATTTAATGTTAAGAAATAAGGCCTGAAGATCATAATATACGAATGTAGTTCCCTAAATAAATATTTGATTAGGAACAAGGCGCACACTAAGCCATACTTCATGGAATCACAATGAAGTTCAGGCACATCTACAGGAAAACTGTATTGCTTTATGACTTACAGCTCTTTTGGTCTGTTTAACAGAAACTGAACCAACTGAAGCAGAATTTCATCATTAAAGCCTTTCACCTCACCATCCTCCACAACATCATATAATGGCTTGCTCTCTGTACCCCAACAGATATTCTTCCGAGGGTTATTTCGAATAGTTTCCACAGTTAATGCTAATGTATTTAACTGGTAACAAAAGAAGGCAAAGTATTTTCCATCAGTCACTACTGCCTGTGATACAAAAGGACGGGTCACATCTGCTTCACTCCAGAATCCTACAAAATAAGAAGTAACACTGGTTATTTAGGACTCAGAACTCCTACTAGCACACACATCTAAACCCAGATTCTGAAATAAAGAAAACCRGAACGAAACACAGCAACCTTTTAGTAGGGGGAAAAAATCCTGCCTGAAGAACACAAGTATTCCTCACAGAGGCTAACAAAGGTGATATAAAAAGACAAGCACCCATTAGCATACTGAAAGAATAAAAATCACTGTAGTAACCCTACTTAAAGGATGGTCTTCAAAAGACACAGAGGCATTAAAAGATAAAAAGGCTATAGAATACGACAATTTGCTTTCACCATCAGAAAGAATTTTATAAATTGCCTGTCTCACCTTGATACATTGCTTGTGCTGCTGTCCAGGCAAAGAGACTTGCGATACCATTAGCTCGATAAGTAACTTCAATTTGATCTTCAAGATTTACATTCAAGAACCTTTGCCTTTTTAGCTTATCAGGAAAAAGATGAAACTGCGTGTGCCCATAACAGCATGGATCTGCCACCTTTGATCCTGTGCCCCCATCCCAAAGAAAAAAGATAATTCAGTAAACACTCTGCATTATACACACAAACAAGTCTTTACTACCAGAGACCATACCACAATAAAATCTACAGAGCTACAATATAGGTTCAAAGTGCTAAAGCCTTTCCATTCTTGGGTGAGACTGCAGAGCTTGCTCAAGCTCAAAACCCTCCTAAGAGTTAAGATACTGAAATGACTTTTTTTGAAAGACTTTGTTAAAATTCTGACAGTTTCCTGCTGGTTTTGTATCCAACCCAAGTCCTTGAAATGAATCTGATAACAAAGTGTATTACACGCACAGGAGAAGGATGCTCCCCATTGCACAAGATGCAAGTTCAAAACCTCAAGTATTCTACTGAGAAGTAGGCCTTGGATTTTTCTCAGACAGAATAGTGTATTTGGAAGCCGCAGAGAGACACCATTCAACTCATCTGTTTCTGTTGTTCCTTACTACCATAAACCTAAAGTTTCTCAATAGTTAAAAGCCATCCCACTCAAAACACTCTCATGGAATTCATTAATGCACTCAGAATACACTCTGCAAAGTACGTATTAGAGAAGCAAGATGTGAAAGAAAGGTTAAAGCTTGAAAACCCTCATATTTTCGATAAAAAACAAAGAAGCATTAAATAAAAAAATCATATTTAAACTCAGTATTTATGATTACTATGATTTCATTTTATAGATGAACAACCACTCTCCCAATAGATTGGCCTCAGTTAAGTAGTTAGCTATCTTCAATACGTACACACACACACTTTCATTGTTAATGGAAGGATCAAGGCTAGRGCTTTGTATTAGTTTTAAAGATTCAAAGCTCTTACCTATAAATACCTTGTTTTCATATTGCTTCTTGAATAAGGGCAGCTTAGATGGTTTGTGATCAATAACAGGAACATTCCCAAGATCAGCCTCTAGAGGTACAATCTTGAAGAACATGGAAAAGGAAAACGGGGGGGGGGGGAGGAAAACAGTAAGTCACATGTTTCTTGGCAAAAAGCATTATAATATATCATTTTTCTTAGAAAACAAAATATACAAGTCTTTCCCGTGTATACCTATCCATAGCTTAAACAACAACAAAATCAATAACCAGTTCCTATCTTGTGACAAGTATTACTCAAATTTCAGCCTTGGTMAGAAACATTACTGCTGCCAAAAAGAAAAAAACCAACAGCAATTAACTTGCAACTGAAAATATCCACACCTCTGGAAGTTGTTTTGGTACACGGATCTGGAGGCGTGGGTGATCATCTATCTGAAACCGCACAGGATCGACTCTACCTTTTCGGTGTCCATGAGCAATAACTTCCTCACCATGGTGCCAGTAGTAGTTAACCTCGGGATTCAAGTCTGAAAGAGAAAGGGGGAGCAGTGGTCATCCATCTGTGTATAAAAACGTCCCAATTGCTGCTCTGTTGATGCAGTAAAACTGATCAAAGCATTTCTGCATCCAACACGTTTTACAAAGTGGGAGCAACGGAAAGTGCTAGTGATATTTGGCACCASCCAGCTCCACCAGTGGCACTGCAGGGTTCACAGAGCAGCCCCCCGCCACCCAGGACCCCTCTCCTCTCCTGCCCCAGCTCCGCACCGAGGGAGGAGGCAGCCAGCAACGGGTTGCGGCGGCAGAGGGAGGCAGCAAGCAACGAAACGAGCTGCGTGAGGAAGGGCCCGGGCGTGTGGTCCTGGTCGCGGTAGAGGAACGGCCGCTTCTTGTTCTGGTAGAAGCTCTCCTGCAGGAGCGCGTCGCAGGCGAGCGAGCGCAGCTCGCCCAGGTCCACGTCCGGGGCCTCCTCCGCCGCGGGCTGCGGCGCCACCGCTGCCCCTGCGGGCTCCGGGACTGCCGCCCCCGTCACCGCCCCTGCGGGCTCCGGGGCTCCYGCGGGCTCCGGCGCCGCGCGCGGGGGCAGCCCCGGCACGAAGACGGTCTTGGTGAAGCTCTGATACCAGCGGTCAGCGTTGATGGCGAAAGTCTGCGGGTAAATCATGTACTTGGGCCGCTGGAGCAGCCCGTAGAGCCGCAGCTTCTCCTCGATGGAGGCCGCCTCGTGCACGCGCTGGTAGAAGTGCTCCAGGCGCCGCCGCTTGGCCGCCTTGCTCTTCGCCGTGGCGGAGGCCACGATGGGCGGGTAGAGCGAGTCCGGGGGCGTGGGGGCGGCGGAGAACTCGGCCTGCGAGAGCCAGCAGCGGCCCTGCCGCGCCAACCGCCACCCCCTGGGAGCCGCCATTTCGCRGCACCGCGAGGCAGCGGAAGGGCACAGCCTCGGCCACTCGGAAATATGATTGGTGGCTGAAAGTCACGTGGGTGAGGCAGTCCTCCAATCGCGGGGCTCCTGAGAGGATCAGCGCGCAGCTGGGAAAAAAARGGGGCGGCTCCTTCCTGCGCGTCACGCCGCCGGAGCGGCTGCGCCGTCTAGGCGCCGCCGCACGGGTCGCGCGCATGCGCAGTCCGCGCCTTCCCCGCCCTCAGGGGGCGGGAACTACAGTTCCCGAAATGCACAGCGGCCCGTCCGCCATTTTTTCCCTGAGCTGCGCCACCAATTTGCTTCTCATCAGCATCAAATTAATGTAACAGAGCAAGAGAGGCAAAATACGACCCTCGTGGCCCAACACCCACCTCCACACCCATCTTTAACCAGCCAGTGACTTAACTGGTTACTGTTCTCCTTTTTTAGTCTCTACTTCAAGAGGTGCTCCTCATGTTGCAGTGGCGCAATCACAGTGCACACAGAATGCAGCTTTGCCCTCCTGCACTCGGGAAGAAGGTTTTCAGTTTTATACATAGTCACCCTCAGGTGATAATTAGGACCCTAAGCATTGAAATGTCATTCACTCTAAATCACAGAGATCTTTCTCAAATAAAAATGAGACTCTTGTAAACCATTTGAAAACAGACACTGAACCACAGAAATTTTACTGAGGACAAAATTTTAGGAAGACTAAGAACTATAGCAGAAATATAAGACAAGAAATATAAGCATGAATATATGATTCAGTGCAGGACAAATGAAACTGAAATTAGTCTCTTTTTCTCTGCATACATGAAAGTAAAGATTGATCTGGTCTGTTTACTATAAAAAATATATTTTTACTGGCTAAAGTTACCCATAGCACAAAGYATATACTGAAGTAACAGGCAGAAACTGCTTAGTTTTTGAAGCTGGCTTTAATGAAAAGMATTCAACTATATTAAAATATGATTTATTATGACAGTTGATTATGAAACTGGAAATAAGCTAAAATAGGCATGCTGACACTTTAAGTAGAATTAATACAGTTCCCCCTTTTCTTGAGATAGGTGGAAAAGCTGAGGCTGTTGCTCTTTGAGGGTCAGATAAAGTGTACTATTCTTTTTATTATTATTATTTTTCTTTACATGATCCCTCCTAGTATTTTGGGAAGAGTTTTTTTTTCTTCTATTTCTGTGGAATTTCTACATTTCCTGAACTGTCTGAAGCATTTAAACTGATTGAGAGCAGAGGAATTATGAGTGGAACTAGTATAGAAGGCATTTATATCACAGATAATCTACTCCCTTTCATTAGATTTAGCCTAGTTTTCCACTTAATGGCAGGTCAGCACTGCAGTTGTTTTGGGGAGGATTTTCAGAATATGTAACAGAGTGGCATAGAGGGTTTAGGATTTAAATTTTTAAATAATATGTATCTTAAAACTATTGTTTTATTTAGGTAAGAAGATAGTCTTCATCAAAAAGTGAACAAAAGCTTTACTTCCATTAAGAATAACAGTGTATTTATGGCTGACATTAAAATATCAAATTTGCAAGTTAGTTAACTATCAGGCATTTAAGGGTATCTACTCTCGATTTTTTTTTTTAATTTTTAATCTAACCACTTCCTTAATTTTAATCTAACTACTCCCTTCACCAAGTTTTATGTAAGTACACAATCTAACTACTCCCTTGTTTAACAAGTATAAGACTGAGGATTTTGAGTCCTCTTTTTTTTTTTTTTTTAAGTCTTCTTTTTCTTATAGGCATAAGATCCTCTGAGGAGTTTCAGACTTCTCTCTCCATAGGAATGTAAATGAAATTTGACTCTTCCTTTGGGAAGCGCACTTAAATCAGAAGGGACAAGAACCTTAGATTAAATGACAGATCTTATAGGGAACACCCTCCCTCATCTTCCTGATCCCATATATCAAAATTTCCATCTGCATTTGAATTTTTTTTCCTTGTCTCCAAAAGGACACTGACCATATGTGTTCAAGATAAAGTTATTAAATCTACTCCCTGTAGTTACAGACAGCCACACTATGAACGTGCAGACGCTTATATGTAGAATCAACACTACAATTCTTAGGCTTTTGCTCGTGCAACTCCTGTTTCAGTTTGGTGGTTCAAAATGTTCTTCCCATTTCATGCATAAATGTATTCATGGTCAATTTATACTGTGTTGTCCTTGTGCAAACATCATCCATTACCTTTAAATAGTTTTATTTTCCCCTCTCCAGTGTTTGCCTTCTAAAATATTGATGGAGACCAGTCATATCACCTGTCAACCCTCATTATGGAATCTAAACAACCTCTTCCAACACAGACAGCTCTCTATTTCCTTGATCATCCTCACAGACCTTTCTTGCATTTCCTCCAGTTTTGCACTTGTCACAGTGATATATGATCAGACTTTACCTATTATTTCATACAAGGAAGCTGTATTGCACCAGAATTACTAGTACTTTACCACATACTTTCATTTGCTCAAATGACAGTTGCCTTCCTCACAGCTTTACAACACTGTGAACATTTTTTTTAAGGATTTTAAGGATTTTTTTTTAAACCTTCAATCAGTTGAGTGCAGAGACTTAACACAAGTTGTGAAACATATGAAAGATCAAAGGACTGATTTTATTCCCCTGCTTTATTCAAAAGGTTTGGCTGTTAACCATCTTAATACTTGAGTTGAGAAAGTATTTTCCTGGTGTACTGACAGTAACAGTACTGTTTCTAATTTATATTATACTGCCGCTAAACCCAAAAAAGGAGGGGAAAAAAAGGAGGTGTCAACTTCTTCCCTCTTTCTCTGGTTGGGTTTTCTGTATTTACAGATTTATTGTTTTATGTTCAGCCTTTGCTAGCTTAGGTAACATCAGCAAGACTGTAATTTCCATTTAAAACTCCTCAGACTGTAGACACTGTACACTGTAGACAGTAATAGACACAGTCTGCATTGTTGACAGATGTTTGTCATTTTATGACTTGTTCTATGTCCTAGGATTATTTTAAAATAGATTCTGTTTAACAATGACAGCTGCCACATGATAATTTGAAGCAAYCCATACCATATCTACATGCAGAAGGGAGAAGTTATCATCACCTTTACTAATGGAAATCCATGGTCAAAACATGCTTCCTAAAAGATTTTCCAGCTGCCTTTATAGGAATATAAGAAGCATATGACTGTTTTCTAGTATGCATGCGCCAAAATGAAAATGCTATATAAGGTTCCAGGCAGCATCAGTTAGAATTCAGTCTTTGTTATGATTCAACTGCTATTTTATTGCAGATTCTCAGACAAATTCCATTTGGGCTAAAATTCTCTATTTTTGTCTATGTATCAAAGCTCTTCTCCCATCTTCCTTTCCCCCTCCACACCATTTTCGGCAAAATCAAAGTGCCTTTGTTAGAAGGCTAAGGGAATGGCGGGAAAAAGTTTCAGACAATAACTTCTTCAGACCATAATTGAGAAAAAATGTGAAAAGAATAAACTTGAGGGTTGGACTACTTTCTGTGTCTCATGTGAGATCTGAGAGTCCACGTGGATTTAAATGAAAGCTCCTTGCATTGTTTTAAAGTAAAGAACCTTCCAACTGGGAATTCCAAAGATGCACAGTAAAATTCTACCTTCTGTCTTTTTCAATAGCATTACTGCAGAGCAGCTGAGAATGGTGATGACATTTAAGACCACTCTAGTTTCAGAGGGCTGTAAAGATAAAAGCTTATCTTGAAGACTTGGTTTGACAAAGCTTAGCTTCACTGCATCAGTGCCCATTAGCTAAAAATCTCAGAAATCCTTAGGGAGAAGCAGGCTTCTTAGCCTGTTTTATATAGTGTTTCAGTGCTATTAGAACAATTACAGAGGAATACCTCACACATTGCCCATGCTTTTGGGAGCAAATCTAACCCGTGAACATCCCATATGTGCCCTTTCAGACCAGTGTAAGGAAAATTTGTCTCACTTGCATAAAGTGAAGGAAAACTTTAACCTTCACTGGTTGAAGGATACAAGTGTTTAAGAAAACAAAACAATATTAATATGACATTACTGAGATAACAAGTGTTTATGCTTGTTTATAATAGGTGTCATGAAAGTGGTATTTGAAAAACAGCAGGCATTCCGCTTACTGCCTCTTCCCTTCTAGTAYTGAGGACACCAAACCTTTTCATGCAGTTTAATTGGAATCCATACCTGCCGCTGACTGCCTGAGTGCTCTCTAGAGTCTTGGAAATCTTGTCTTAGGTCCCATAACTAACTCATASAGCTGTTTTTGGCAAAGGGCTTATGAGTAGGGCTTATTTTTTAAAAAAGTATTGTCACCACATAATGTTTGTTATATTTTCCAACTTACATATCTATTCTAAATAACCAAAAAGCAATGCAGATCATCCTGAAGTGACTTTTACAAACCAAAGGAAGCTACAGATCTGAAGGACACAGTGTCCTCAATGAAGAGCAGCTACAGTACAATGAGGGCAGCTACAGTACAAAATGGAACAGTGCCACAGGATCAGAGCAGGCAATCCTGACTTCCATTTGGATTTCTAAATGCAGCACCAGATTTAGTTTCTCTCTGAATATGATATGTTTTATTTTTTCCACAGTGAAAAAATGCRCAAGTAGAATCCAACCAAAATATTTCCCTCTTGAAGCAATGTTTAGCTCATTTGAATAACTTGAGGTTGGAGAGCAGTTTAATTTAGTATTATTTAGTAATAATAATAATAAAAAAAMCCCTGCATCTTCTAAATAGCAGAGAAACCTTTATTGCTTAGATTCTCAAGTGTCGACAACCAAAAATACTTAGACTGTCTTCCCTAAATGTATTTAACATTTTTTATATATGAAAGTCAGCTGATATTTATCCCTGATGATTAAGTCTAGTGAATGACTCTAAGATAAATAGGTGACCTGACTATGACTCACAACTGACTCACAGTCAAATACTTGTTAAGACTGTATTTCTAAAAAGAAAAATAGCATATACTTAA